AAAATTAGCTGGGTGTGGTGGCAGACACCTGTAATCCCAGCTACTCGGAAGGATGAGGCAGGAGAATCACTTGAGCCCAGGAGGCAGAGATTGCAGTGAGTTGAGATGGTGCCACTGCGCTCCATCCTGGGTGACAGAGAGAGACTCTGTTTAAAAAAAAAAAAAAAAAGTAATGCTATCAGCAATTAGAATTACAAACTTCACGTACAATGATGTATGTAATGACCCTGACACATCCAATACCATAAAGTCTCAAAATGTCAGAGATACATGGTTTGCAAAGTATCATCCCTATACCAGCAGCATCAACATCATCTCGGAACTTGTTAGAAAGGCAAATTATTGGGCTCTACCCCGACACCTGTGGAATCAGAAATTCTGGGGCTGGATCACAACAATCTGCTTTTAACAATTTCTCCAGGTGATTCTGATGTCCATTAAAGTTTGAGAACCACTCATCTAGACAGAACCGTGCTACTTCAAGTACGATCTGTCAACTGGTAACATTGAAATCACTAGGGTCTTGTTAGAACTGCAGAATTTCAGACCCCACCTAGACTTACTGGATTAGAATCTAAATTTTAATAAGGTCTCCAGGTGACTTGTGCGCATGTTAAAGTTTGAGAAATATCATACTTGCCCAATGGTTTCTTTCATGGGCTGAACTGTGTCTCCCCCAAATTCACACGTTGAAGTCCTAGCCTTCAGGGGCCCTAAATATAACTATTTGGAGATAGGCCTTTGACGAGGTAATCAAGTTAAAATTAGGTCTTTAGACTAGGCCCTGACACAATATACGACCAGCATCCTTATAAGATGAGCTTAGGACACAGACATGCACAGAGAAAAGACCGTAGTAAAGATATAGGGGGAAGATGGTCAGGTGCAAGTGAAGGAGAGAGGGCTCAGGATCAACCAACCCTTGATCTTGGACTTCCTACCTCCAGAAGTGTGAGAAGATACATTTCTGTTGCTTAAATCACCCAGTCTGTGGTCCTTTGAATGGCAGTCCTAGCAAACTAATACAGTTTCCAAACTCAGGAGTCATCTAGGGAGTTTTTAAAATATTGATACCTGGTTTCCATTCCCAGAGGTTCCAATTTAAGTGGTCTGAGGATCAGCTCATAAATCTTGATTTTAAAAACCTCTCCAGCCAGGCATAGTGACTCGGGCTTGTAATCCCAGCACTTTTGGAGGCTGAGGCAGGTGGATCACCTGAGGTCAGGAACTGGAGACCAGCCTGGCTAGCATGGCGAAACCCCTTCTCTACTAAAAATACAAAAATTAGCTGGGTGCAATGGCAGGTGCCTGTAATCCCAGCTACTCGGGAGGTTAGGGCAGGAGAATCACTTGAACCCGGGAGGCAGAGGTTGCAGTGAGCTGAGATCGCACCACTGCGCTCTAGCCTGGGCAACAACAGTGAGACTCCATCTCAAAAAAAATAAAAACAAAAAACAAAAAAACAAAAAAACTCCCCAGGTAATTTTTAATGTGCAACAAAGTTTGAATACCACTGCTAATCTACTGCAGGGGTGTCCAATCTTTTGGATTACCTGGGCCACATTGGAAGAAGAATTGTCTTGGGCCACACATAAAATACACTAACACAATGACAGCTGATGAGCTAAAAAAAAAAAAATTGAAAAAAAAAAAAATCTCATAATGTTTTAAGAAAGTTTATAAATTTGTGTTGAGCCACACTCAAAGCTGTCCTGGGCTGCATGTGGCCCACAATCCTCGGGTTGGACAAGCTTGATCTACTCCATTCTTTTCATTGATGAGAAATCTAAGACAATTGTAACTCTTAAATTTCAGTCTCTTGATACTTGCTTACCTGATCTCCTACCATTATGTACCAAAACTACCTTCTGTAAGTATTTGATAGAATATTCTACTGGAAAAGAGAAAGTTAAATCAAAGCTGGCAATAATATACACTCTTTTCGTGCTTCAACTTTTTAAGTGTTAGTGTCTGTGTGTGTGTGCTAGGGACCATTTTGAACTTTGTGTGTGTGTGTGCGTGTGTGTGTGTGTGGTGGTACATCTTCCCCAGTACAGGTATAGGGAAGGTCCCCAAAGATAATCTGTTGAACCAAGTTGTCAGTGACACTACCTCTCCCTAGGTTCTTCTTTTCCCTCCTGTTAAGGTTCCCTCAAGGCTCCTAGGATCCAAATTAAAGACACTCAGATGCTGTAAACCAGCCTTCCAAGGCATTGGCAGCAAACCACTAATCAGTTTTCTTTTTTTTTTTTCTCTCACTAAATCCTTTCCCATGTCCCTGTGAACTTTTGAAGCTCCCAAACTCAACACTCCACTCAAAGGACAACTATTTACTGAATATTTACTCTTTTCCAGGAACTCGAGGGTTTGATTCAGACTTAATAGAAACCCTATGAGATTACACGCACACACACATGCGCGCACAAGGTGCAGTCTCTCCATAAAAGTGATTTGGCACCCTTAAAATAACATACACCCTTGTGGAGAGGGGAACTCTGCTCTAAATGTGTGCTTTTGCTACATTGATTAATGTTTAGTATTTTACTTGGCCCGAACATTGATATGATCACAGGTTCAAATAGACTTATTTTCTCAACAGTCTAGTAGACTTTCTGGTTAGTTCCCCAGATACATCACCTACCTGCCTCTCCCTGGCTGCCTTTCCACTATAGAAGCTGAGTAAAAACTGATACTTTCCCAGTCTCCTTTGCCACTAAGGGCAGCTATGTGCCCCAGATATTGCCAATGAGATCAAAGTAGGATTCTGTTAGATAAATTTGGGGAAAGATATTTTTTCTCTGATAAGAAAGTTGCATGAGGAAAAATACTCTGACCTTTTCCACCCCGTTTCCTGACGTTGAACATGGGATCAGGACTCAGTGTCTTGAGCTGTTAGAGCCATCTTGAAGCCGTGAGGGTAAGACACTGACTCAGAACCCTGATATTGTTGGGTCACTGAATCAACTCCAGTTATCACCTGCTGTCAGACTTCTCTATTTTTTTTTTTTTTTTTTTTTTTGAGAGACAGGGTCTTACTCTGTCACCCAGCCTAGAATGCAGTGGTGCAATCATAGTTCATTGCAGCTTTAAAATCCTAAGCTCAAGGGATCCTCCCACCTCCGCCTCCTGTGTAGCTGGGACCACAGGCACATGCTACTATGCCCAGCTAAACTTCTGTAGTATTACAAGCCACGTTTAGTTGACTTTTCTGTTACTTTCAGCAAAAAAATAAATAAATAAAAATAAAGTTAAAGTTCACAACAATATACAGATTTTTTTCAAATATAGAAAACTCTCATTTATTTAGAACACAGTGTATTCCGAGGATCCACACTTTGAGTATCATTGAATTAAATGACTTATCTTTTAGGAGTGATGAGAAAGAATGCCCAAGTGGATTTCAAGGAATGGTAAACCTAATCTGGACTGCCAAATTATTTTATTCATTCATTTTTTTTAAACAGACCTTACTTTACTAGACTCCAGGGATTCAAAGATTAATAAGGCATTACCCTTGTTTTCAAATAAATGTTATTACTCTAAGCAAGATGGATGTGTAAACCAAGAATCATAAGGTGGTAAGAGCTAAGACAGAGGTATGTAGAGGAGAGGAGTTATGTTATCAGAGAAGTGGGAAGCTTAACGGCTCCCTGGGGAGGACATTGGAAGAGGATCATGGAAGCTTCCATTCAACTCTAAAAAATTATTCCAGTGATCTGACTAAACATGTAAGGTTTTATTAATTTTATTTCAAGGAGGGGTCTTTTCTATAATTATAGGTTATAAAACAAATGGCAATTCAAGAAAGATCAGGGATTAATCAACTGCCAGAAAAGATTCCCCCATCCATTTTTCTCTCCCACAAAGCAAGCCAAAAACATGGTTTTGTGTGTGCGTGTTGGGGGGGAGGGGCGGTGGTGTGCATATCAACAGGGTTGTTTTCTAGAATAGAATACTTCTGTGTTGTGAATTAAGACCACCTGTTAACATTGCATCAAACCAAACAATTTGATGGTAAAGCAATCAGTCATCAATATGAACCACAAATTCATGCATTCCAGGAGATGCTCTCCTCTGCTCCTTTTAAGCAAAAATGACAATAATTAGTATTTACTTAATAGTCACAGAAACGTTTTGTATTTAGTGATAGAGAAAGGGGAAATATCTCCCCCCCACCACCCACCACCACCAAAATGATTTTTCTAAAAATGGTTAATAGAAGGAACTCCCTAACCTTAGAGGAGAAACTAACACGTAGTTTTGCACTGTTAAATTCTTATAAGAAACAGAACAGGTCCTCACTGGTTGTCTTGCAAGGGAATAATAGGCTTTGGAGCATATCTGAAAATAGAGAAAATAAAACCAGCAATAGTCTTCTAAAATTTTCCTGGAATACAATACGTTAAAAAATAAAACATTCAATAGTGTCCTTCAATGAATGTTTCAACATTGTGGCATTCACATTAATTGTGCCTCCGGAACATTTTGATTCAGTCAATGATAGCGAGATAGATATGCAACAACTGCAGTTACCTTAAGCGCTGGCATGTCCTGGGCTGGAGAGGGTTGTTCCAAGATCCCAACTCAGGCTACAGTAAAACATCTGCCACCTCGCAGAGAATGAAGAAGCCACTCTGGCAAAGGATCCCAGCTAAGCCCTCTGACTCTCCTGTCCCCACCTCTAAGAATTACACCGGAGGAAAGTGGGGGAGGAGGGAAATACACGAAACAAACAAAACATTCCTAGCTCCATAAACGCCGCATTCGGACATGTGAAGGTACTTGGGAAATTAAGAATATGGCCCCAGAGTTTTGTTTATCTGCGGTCTGAGCATAGATTTTATATTCGCTGTTGCGTTTTTTAAATCTAACTTTCTGTCTCCAATGGAGAGAGCCAGAGGGAGGAAGCAAAGGCAGACAAACACAGACTGGAAGACCCCCTCCCCGCGAGTCCCCCAAACAGTAAGCATCAGAAGACAAGAAACTTGCCTGGACCTCACCTAGACTGAGAGGCAGCTGGTCCAGCCTCTGGAGGGGGTCAGCCTGCTGGGATGAGTCGCTGAAGCTGGAGCTGAAATGCAGACCCCAGGCGGGAGGCAAAGTCCCGCTCCTAACCCAGGGGAACAGAGTGACTCACGCGCTTGGCTTCCGCCTCTGGGCGCTGTGCGCCCCTCTCCCTCCCCACCCCCAGCAAGTACCAGGACCTAGTGCCTCACGAGAGGCGGTCTCCAGGCGCCCCTGTCCACGGGGCTCACAGCCGGCTGCCCCCAGGCGGCGGCGCCAGAGTCGCGCTAGGCACAGCCCGCCCCTCAAGGCAGCCGCCCGCTGCCAAGGGGTGAGAGCCTCCTTCGTGGATCTCACTCTTCTCGGCTCCCCGCCACCCCAGAACCCCCTGACCCCGGGCTGACCATTTGAGCTCAACACACCTTTCATATACTACCTGGACGCGGCTTTGCAAAGTCCCTCCTGCAGGCTGTGCCAAACGGGCTTCAGGATGCACAACCAGCCCCAGGACTTACAACCGGTCTGAAAAGACCCCACCCCCGCCATCCTTGGTCTCCACCTTGTGGTGGCTCCGGAAGCCTCTCAGCCCAGAGACAGGTGCAGCTGGCTCCTCAAGATCCCAGGTGTATCCTTTTCCATAGGTCTTTCCTTTCCTCCGACCCTACCTTGCAGGAACTGTCACCCCCCCGCACTCCCCGCCACACACACACCCGTGGCCCATCTGACACATCCACCTGCAAGGTGGATATGGCGATGCCCAAACTTCCCAGTTTGTACCTATACCAGGAGTACCCTTACTGCTCACCACAGCCAAGGCACAAGTTACTCCCATCTCATCTCCTAGGACCCCCGTTCCTTGTGGAGGAGTCTGCAAGTCTCTCCTCTCTCATATCCCCTCTGGGTCTTGGAAAAGTACTGTGGGGAATGATGGGACCCTGGTGCCAAGGGTCACCTCTCTAATCTGACATGGAATAAGAAAAGCCAAGACTCCACCCAAACTGGGTTTAGTGGCAGTGCTTCTTTGGGACAGTCAAGGTGTCCTGGGGTGCCAGGTTATAGAAGGGTTAATAGCTTCAGCAAACATGGCGTGGGAATTCTGTCTCACGACCTTGTGTGTTCTGGTAAAGGTCATCTTGTTCTACTAGGAGGAGGGGTAGGGTTGATGAACCCTCAGTCCTGCCTTCACCATATCAAAACTGGGGGGGAAGAAGAAAATGTATAAAAAGAGTTCCTTTATCCCTGGCAAGGGTGAGGGATTATAGAGTTCAGAGAGAAAGAAACAAGAATAGGGAAGGGGTGGGTCATTTTCTCAACTTGAGGACAGCATTTCAGCTGTCAGACTTCTTGTAACTCTGGTAAAGGATGGGGGTCCAATTTCAAAAAGTGAGCAATATCCCCTAACACACGCCCTTTCTTATCCCATTGCTTTCTTCTACCATTATAAACTGAGATCTCCCCCACAATTGGACACATAGGGACTATAAGTTACTCATTTCAATGTATTAGTAATCCAGCACATGGCCTAACACATAGTGGAAAATAAAGCTTTATTGAAAGCTCAGAAGTCTAGTATCCAGGACCTTCCTCCCCCTGTCTCTGGCTCCCACCTCTTTTCATCTTTTCCCATTTCTTTCCGTTTACTTTTCTTCCTTGTCTATACCTACTTCCCTGAATAATACCAGCCTTCAGTTTTTCTACCTCTGTTTTCTAATTTTATAAGGCAGCGTTTCATTTCCAATTTTATTTGTTCTCTTTTTCTAAAGTCCCCTTACTCTGCTTTCTCTTCCGATGCCCTATTTTCAAACTTCACTTATACAATACTTCCCTTATACAATAGTCAACTCTTTTGTTTGTTGCCTGTTCTAGACAGTTTATACAAATGGAATTATAAAATATATGGGCCTTTGTGTGTGGCTTCTTTCACTAAGAATAATGTTTTCAAGTTTAATTTTAATGAAGTGCCTTTCCTCAAGCCCTACCTTGCAGGAACTGTCGCCCCCACACACACACAGACACACACACCTTTTTTGTTTGTTTGTTTTAAGGTTGGATCAAAATTCTTACCTATCAAAAATCTTACATTCCCCAGAGAGTAAGTGTGTGTGTGTGCGTGTGCGTGTGTGCATCCAAGACAATGTGTCTTCTCGCGCAAAGCAATCAACCATGTATTACCAGAACCATGTCTTCATTAATTCACTCAACTCACATTTACTGTGCACCTAATGCGTACCAGACATTGTGTTAGGTCCTAGGTTTATAGAAATGAATAAGGCAATGTGACTACCATCAAGAATGCCACAGACTAAGGGGTGGGGGAAAGAGAAGAGCAGATAATAGAACAAAGTTACACAACAATGCTGTAAGAGAAATGTGTACAAGGTGCTGTGGAAATAAGAAGGAAGCACACAGTACTTCATGGAGGAGGCAGGAGGTGGTCAGGAAACATTTTACCAGAAGATGGCAATTGAACTGAGTCTTGAAAAACAACTAGGAGTCTTCCAGGAAGACAAGAAGGGAGAAATATATACAAGATGAGTAATTTGCCGGGCGCGGTGGCTCAAGCCTGTAATCCCAGCACTTTGGGAGGCCGAGACGGGCGGATCACGAGGTCAGGAGATCGAGACCATCCTGGCTAACACGGTGAAACCCCGTCTCTACTAAAAAGTACAAAAAACTAGCCGGGCGAGGTGGCGAGCGCCTGTAGTCCCAGCTACTCCGGAGGCTGAGGCAGGAGAATGGCGTAAACCCTGGAGGCGGAGCTTGCGGTGAGCAGAGATCCGGCCACTGCACTCCAGCCTGGGTGACAGAGCCAGACTCCTTCTCAAAAAAAAAAAAAAAAAAAAAAAAAAAAAGATGAGTAATTTACTTTGGATTTTAATTTGAATCTCCTTTCCCTTGTAATGGCATCATTGTTAAGGCAGATGGTGTGTAACATTGTTCCAGAGTTAAAAGAGTTCTCTTCCCTGATAGTTCCAGGGATAATTCTTGGTTCTACTTGGATCATGTGTCCATCCCTGAAACAATTACCATGGCCAGGTAGGTAGTATATTCTGATTGGTTGGCCTGGGTCGTGTGTCCACTCCTGGGTTTTTGTTCTTTTTTTTTTTTTTTTTTTTTTTTTGGAGAGAGAAACATAAATATAAATACCTTTCAGTTCCTGCCAGGAAAGATGTGAACAAAAGTAGCATGTCAATTATATGTATATGAGCATTTCTGACATAAAATGATATACCTGACTCTGAAAAATCTCTCATTTTTCAAAATCACACACTAAAACTAACAAGGCATAAGAGTTAGGGCAGATCATTCAAAACTTATGCACCTTTATAAGCAGAGCATTAACAATTTTTTTTTAAAATAATATATCAGGTGATGACTTGTGCACAACTCAGACACACAGCTTGTTATGGCTAGAGGCCACCTCAGTAGATATTAAACATACAAGAAACCAATAGAGAGGAAATTCTGCTTGAGAGAGCTGAGACAATGCAGATGTGGAAGTCTAAGACAGAAAGGCTGCTATTAAGGTGGGCACAGGAAGAAGTACACTCTGCCTGAGGCAAGAATCATGCAAGGCTGAGGATCTGCTTCCTTGGGGAGGAAGCCCTGGGTGTAGAACCTCACTTTTAATAAAAAAAATAAAAAAATTTTTTAAAAAAGGGCTTTTGACTGTGCAGCAGCCAAATTGAAGGATTTTTCCTTTCATGCTGAAGGTTATAATTCTACTTCCACCCAACGTCCACATCTTATTGACATTCTTCCCCTATTTCCAATTACATACATACTATTTGTTATAGATAATGTGCTATAGCAGAAGAGATTTTGTATATTTGTTTATTACCTATCAATTATTTATCAGGCCCATGGAGTCTAATCTAGTCTCGTGCTTTAAAATTCCAATTATTTGCTAATGACTCCCAAATTTATGTCTCTGGACTGGTTATTTCTTCTGAACTCCCAACACTTATCAAGCAACCTGTTGAGCAACCTGCTCCACATCCTCACCTGAATGGCAATAGGAATCTCAAACTTCCCTTATACAACACTCAACTCTTTTGTTTGTTGCCTATTCTAGACATTTTATACAAATGAAATTACAAAATATATGGGCCTTTGTGTGTGGCTTCTTTCACTAAGCATGTTTTCAAGGTCATCCGTGTTGTAGCATGCATCAGAACTTCATTCCTTCTTATGATTGAATAATATGGGCCTAATTCTTAGATAAGAACTTCAGTTTGGGAGTGTAGAGGAAAGGCAGGAAAGATCTCAGAGAAAAGCTGCAGAGCGAAAGCTTGATGGAGGTTGTGTTTTCCGATTGGATAGTTGTCCCCCATATAAATCCTGTGCTTGCCTTGCATCCTGTGAGAGCCTCAGGCCCAGCTGCAGGACTGTCTGCTGGCAGGGTAGTGTCTGCAGTCCTGGCTTTTTGCTTAACGACAACAATGCTGCATCAATGCCTCTTCCTGCAATTGCTTCTACAGTAGTTCCTATGAGGTAAGATCTGTGGGATGCCCGGATCCCCTGAGGGAGATGCATGGCAGAGCACCTGGGGTCTGGTTCCATCTGCTCCCAAGGTAAGGTGAACTTGGATCCATGGGATAGTCCCAAGGGATCCCCTCCAAATCCGTGGTTAGACAATGGTGGAGTCATTCAGTCAGCATGTGGTTTGTGACGGTCCACTCTATTCATACAATAAATCTTTGTGAAGCACCCACTTTGGCACCAGGATGCTAAGCTGTGCTAAGGAATCAGTCATCCTGTGGTCCTGTGCTAAGTGCTCTTTCCAGTCTCAGTATGTCTGTAATTCTCTTCTTCCAAAGGAACTTGCAAACCCTGATAGGTCAAAAAGAGAAGAGTTACTGTCTTTTCCTCCCCTAACTGATGATCTACTGGGGAAGATTACACAGAGTAGGGGCTCTGAAGCCCCCTCCACACACAAAAAAAACAAAATCCCAGGAGTGGGCACATGACCCAGGCCAGCCAATCAGAATACACTACCGGCCTGGCCATGGTCATTGTTTCAGAGATGGACACATGGTCCAAGCAGAACCAATCAGAATTATCCCTGGAGTTTTCAGGAAAGAGAATTCTTAACTCTGGAGCAAACTTATACACCATCTGCCTTAAAAATGATGCCATTACATGGAAAAGGAGATGCAAATTGGAATTCAAAGTAAATTATTCATCTTCTAGATATTTTTCCCTTCTTGTCTTCCTGGAAAACTCCTAGTTGTTTTTCAAGACTCAGTTTAATTGTCATCTTCTGGTGAAATGTTTCC